GCAGACCGAGGTTGACAAAGTCAGTCACCTACGCTTCGGTCGGGTCCGCAAAATCACCCGCAAACGGGGACCAAATTTTCGCCGCGCAGGAAAGCCCGATTGGCATTGCTAACTACACGCTATGCGTTATCACTTGTTTCGCCGAGCTGATGTACTAATTGTTGAGTTTATCGCGTTTTGCTCTTTATCTGTATTTATTTGATCGCTTATCATTTTTGAATGGCTCATTCTATCAGCTTTAAGAAAATATAAGGTTTTATATGCCTTTTATAATCTATTGAGCCGTAAATGGTCTTTTTTCAGTAGCAGGTACACATCTCGGGTATCTCAGCTGATCCCCCCGCCAAACCCCCATGTTTACAACCGATCAGCCGTGGCGGCGGGGCATTTTTGGCGGGTTACTTCCGGTTAAACGCTAAGCGCTTCTAGGGTTAAAACAGAAAGTTTGAATGCTCACGCTGGTTTTGATGCCTCTGCTTGGTCAGTCTGCAGCTTCTCTCCCCCTTCCACTTCCATTGTGCAGTAGACAATTTTGTTTGGAGCCAAAGACTTAAGGCCTTTCACTTCAATCACGTGGACCTGCAGACGAAGATGGCTTCTGTCAACACATGCAGTTGATGAAAGAGCAACCGATTGATAAAAATTGCCTACTGTAAACGAAAAGAGAAGAAAACCCTTCATTTTACTATCATGAAAACAGTTTAGAAGGATACAACAAACTGAAAGATGAGGAACTAGTTGCTAATAGCAGTATCATTCACATACAAAGTCCTTTAAAAAACACACGATTAAATATGCAACAACAAATACCTTAATTGTAACTCATTTTTTAAATCAAAACCTTCAAACAAATTAAACTTTAATATTCAAATTATAAACTTCGAATCTATTTTCTCTATGATCAGTACTTGAGAGAACGTGACAGCACCTCTAAGGTGAAAGTCAGAACAACATCCATCTTGGAAAGTCCAGGGTCGTTGTCTTCATTGATGTCCAGCTTGGAGAGTGAAGAATGCTGAGTTCTGAACAGTGAGGAGCAAGAGAGGAAAAAACATTTAGCATTATGCTAAAAAAAGGTAATTTGGAAATGTATGAAGGAAGGCCATCTCATTGAATCACCAACACACAAAAAAAAACACCTTGATAATGAACTATTTTTTTCCTGTTCAAATAATGGAAGTATAAGGCTTTTGATTTGGTTACACTTCAGAGCACAACAGTGGGTCTCTTTCAAAACACTACTCAGTTATTTCATTTTCTAAAATAAGAGATGAGAGAAAATTCTTACAAAGAAATAATCACAGAGAGTGTGTCATTTTTTTCCCTGTCAGTCACAAAGTTATGCTTATCATTGAAAGGAATCAAAATAATCAAACCCAACTTTTTCAGGATACAAGATCAGTAAGTACTGAAAAATTCTAGCGTACACCTTTATCAAAGATAATTTAAAGAATTGCATGAAATGCACACACTTGAGTTATTCAATAAGAAAATGAGAGGAAAGTCACTTCAAGAAGAAAATTAAATCCAAACACAAAACAGTGAGCTATTAGTTACATATTTTGTATGGCTTTAACAGCCACGGTATACAGTCTGTAACTTGCAGAGTGAGAGTGAGACAAAAAAAGCAGCTAATTACAAATTTACATGCCAGAGGAAACCAAGCATTAAAGCATAATTTCAACATTATTTCTAGCCCTTTAGAAAGCCATTTTGAACGAAGTCTAAAACAGCATGAAAGAACATTCAGATAGCTGTAAACAGTTAAGCTTGGTCTTTTTGGGACACATGTTATCCATATGTCTGCATACCAAATCAATTCTCCTTGTGTTACTTTAGTATCTCACTGTGCAAGTTCAGAGACTAATATTAAATTAATTATTCTTGAACAAAATTTTTCTATCTTTTCACTTTTGATAAAGCATTCACTGTATGAAAATAAAAACATAACATGCAGTCACTCAGTAAAAATAATTACAGTATCCATATCTAAAACTCCCGAGTTCGGAATGAAAAGAGGATTAGAAAGCCTATGTTCATGCTGACATGCTGTAAGACTTGTTCCGTTACATTCCATGCATTTGCAACCAGTCAATATGGTGTTAGCCAAGATAAAATCTCAACTCATATGACACAGCGAGCCCTCTGTATCAGTGAGACCAGACCTATTAAAGATCTGAGATGGTAACTTGTTTCAACAAAGAAATTAAGACTAACAATTTTCAGGGGGTGCGATTGAGTGAGTGCGAGAGAGAAAGAGAGGAGAGAGAGAAAGAGAGCGAGAGAGAGAGAGAGAGAGAGAGAGAGAGAGAAAAAAAGAGAGAGAGAGAGGGGGGGGGAAGAAAGACTTTTTCCTTTCACACTTATTGTTATCATTAATGACATGGAGTACCAGCAAATTTGACTATTGGCAGAAAGTAGGGCTGCACACTTGACATTGATAAAGAGGGCCCATTGAGAACACAAAAAGCAAGGAAACGTACCTCGATGACAGGTAAAAACTGAATACAATTAGTGAAGACAGTAGGCTTTCCATGATCTAATGCAAAGTCCACCACCCCAAAACCTAATGATTTAAACGGTTGCCACACAAATCATATCCTTAACATCTTTTTGAGCAGAAACAGAAAGTAAAAATCACAACACAAGTGAGCCGCAAAACTAGGACAGTTTTTAGTGAAGTACAAATGGTATAGGTTTAACATCTCTATCAACACTATTAGGTTATTTAAGAAGCGGGACCTCCGAGTTTAACGTCCATCTCCGAAAGGACTGAGCCAAATGGGAAATTCATATAAATTGCCTTTCCCAAGGACACAACGTCGGACCAAGCTGAGGCTCGAACCCCCGAAACCCAACCTCACGATAACGAGTCCGGTAGCCTAACCATTAGGCTACCGATGCCATTATTTAGTGGAAGTACAAATGATACAATAATTTCTAACATGAAAGACCTTCAGGTTATACTCACTTTACTCAGCTGAATAATTAAGAACTCATCTTAGGAGTGGGAGTTTGGAATTAATGTGTTCATAACGATAATAATAATAATAATAATAATAAATAATAATAATAACAATAAATACCATTTGTATAGTGCACATCCCTGCCGTACAGCAAGCTCTATGCGCTTTACACACTATGTCATTACCCCAGCAGACCATAGAACACTCAGAAACATTCTCAGTTTCCAGGGAAGCATAAGGTGCAAGCAGCCGATTAAGCGCTCAAACACTAACAAACTGACAAGATCTTTCACAGCCTATAGCTGGGTACCCACTCCCACCTGGGTGAAGTGAGGAAAATTCACGTAAAGTGCCTTTCCCAAGGACACATACTAAGCGACTGGAGTGTGGTCTATTCTGAAACAGTTTTTTTCTCCAAATGCACACTTCACATTGAACTTTTCAAGGAGGGTGACATGTTTGTTTTGGCATACTAAGCCGAACTGATAAAAAAATTATATCAGTGTGATGAAAGAAGCAAAGCAAAGGAGGTACGGCATAATTTTTATTTATAACAATGCAAACTGCTCTATCTTTCACAAAAACAAAATGCAAGTCGTGAAAAGAAAACGCCCCCACAAAGTCTGCTATATGCTCACGTAAAAAAAATTTTTTTTTTCACTTTGTATCCAATGAGTTACTTAGCAAAACTAAAAAGCCTTCACAAAGCTCATAAACCCTTTTTCAAACAGACAGTACAGAGTGATACTTATTGTGAAACACAATTGTATACCATAATCATAAACGCAAAATTAATCATTTCAGTACACAAACTAGATAATTATTCAAACACACAAAATAGCTTAGTTAATGCTATGAGAAATATTATTCACGCACACAAAAAAACTGATCATGTATTATAAGCAGCACTCCCATGAGTATGATTTAGAGCAGAAAAGGATTTATTTACCATCATTCCCACTTAGTAACAAAATTTAGATTAATATTCCTGACTATTAAAAATGTGATGGATACTGCACACACAAACACACATATAAATATGTGAGGCATCGTGGTGAAATCAGGCGCTCATCTAATTAATGAAATCAAAGAAATTGCCACTTTCTTGGCCTAGGGCAATTTGTAAAAATAATTTCCTTTATTTTTTCCTGCGGCTAAACACCTTTTGTGTCCATTTAAAAACACATTTCTGTGTGAATTTTACTGAAAAACTTTGATATTAAAGGCACAAAAAATGTAAATTTTCAGTTTCTAAGAACTCTCAGGCTAGGGAAGTTACCAAACTTGGGTGGCCATTTTCTCACTAATTTTACCTCTGAAACCAGGCGACCCAAACCTCCTTCAATTGCAAATATTTAGACTTCTATTCATCATAGAAGGATATGTCTTTCACCTAAAAGAACACAAATGAACAGGCTTTAAGATAACACCAATAACCCCACATGCCCAAAAATTGACGAGCACCTGATTCTACCGCGTCGTGACACATATATTTATATAAGCATCGATGTGTAGTTTAGTTGAGTAATATAAATTGCCCTGAAGTTCATCTTTTGGCAGTCTCAGTATTTACAAGGTGATATTTATTATAATGCAGTTTGGAGTGAGTGGAAAGGGTATGTCTTGGAAGTCAGTCAGATGATACAAGCTTTATTTTAAATTCCATACTAAAGAATTAATTCTCTGAGATTAGCAGAAAACAAGAGGCATTTTAATCAGGACTTAAGAGCCCAACCCAGTGCACTCCAAGATGGTTGACAGCAGTTTTTCAGTTTAAAACTACAGGCTATTTTGAAAACCAAAATGTAATTTGATAGATCCTCCAGTGATCAATTGAAGGAAAAAAAAACAACAACCGAAAACCATATTGAGCAAACCACAACATCTGACTAGTAAAGTATAAAATAAAGATTGAAAATATCAAATGTTCTACCAAACTACTGAGTAAATGTGAAGAGAAAAGTTTAATATAACAAACAGTACAGTGTCTCGTTATCAATCTTTTAAAAAAGCATGCTCAGTCATTTCACCTAAAGCTTCCCCTTGATTCCGAGCAGATAAAAATTTCACATATATGAGAAGTAAATAAAGAGTTATGAAGATTATGCGGTAAGTATGCTTGTTACTTAGGCTGGACAGTGTTCAAAAAGTGCCCTCTGATTAGGTATACACAGTCCATGTTATTTGATATTTCTTTTAAGACTTACAAACTTGGCAGTACGACATAGGTGAAAACATGCATCGGCACTGACACCAGTTCACCTAAATGTCTGACGAAGTGACAGAACATCAACAAGTAAGCAAATATCCCATACACTGAACAGTGTTAGCCTGTCTGTCACCAACAGTTTTCTCATCACCCTTAAGACTTCCTCACCATAGACAACACATCAGTTACACACTTCCCACCAACACCAAATGTCCGTAAATCTGATCTATCACCATTATGATTAGTATCGTTTACATGCACTTGGAAGTTAGAAAAGTGTTTTAGTCTCCATGTCACAAGTGCTCTAAAAAGTAACCTATAGATACCTTCATAGGAGATTTGGACAAAGCCTTTCTGCTTTGAAGCTTTCATATGCTAATCAAAGAACGACTCTCTGTGACACTCTACACTGAAAACAAGCAAACACCATACTCTTTATTTGAACCTTGACAACAAATTGGCAGAAATTCTGATAGATCGAATGCACTGACGAACAAATACCATGAAGGGGGAGTCACTTAAAAAGAATCATTAATGTACTGAACAAGTCAATACATGCAGGTTATACAGTTGTATATCGCCCCATAAAGCAAAAATTTGAATATCATCTGAAATCTTAAGAGTAAGAATGCCAGAATACGCACTATAGAAATATTAAAATGAGGAAACAGTTTTTCTTTCCCATCTGAACTGAATGAATGTATGCTACCAACCCCTGACTGAAAGTTGTAATAAATGTATACACAGTCTACCTAACAACCCTCAGACAGATCAAGCAATACTGTCATTACATTAAATTTCCACAGGCAAACAGCAGACTTTTGAATATCTGAAAATGTTTAGTATTTGGTTAACGTCTGAAAATGCTCAAAATTTGATAACGGTTGAAAATGTTCAGTGTAAATATTATCGCAAAATGGATCCAAAGCTCCATGAATATGTCCATCATGACAAAAACTACACAAAAAAAAGGGAGGAAAGGAATGCCTTGAAAGTGGAACATGGGAAGGATCCAACAGAAGAAATAATTGATGCATGATAAGATATTACAGCTGGTGCACTACTTTCTACATCCAGTACCCCTAACTACAACATATTCTCCACCTGCCGCCCAATAAAAATATCCCTGATACTATTCTAGATGCAGAAATGTCGAAAAATATAAAATACCAGGACCATACTTTCTCAACAAAACTAAAAGCCATTTGAAAATAACACTGATGCAGTGAACATTAAGATGGAAGCAGGGAACGAGAAATGAAAGGGGAAACATTGGAATTAGAAGACCTACTAGAACAATCAAAACTAAAATTTTCTGATGTGCGTGGAAGACAAAAAAATCACAGATGATTCATAGTCAACAAATTAATTTACAAACATAATAAAAACTCAAAGATGGGATTATGGATGAGGAAATGACTTTGTCTTCGACGCAATCCACAATTTTTAAAAATAACCAGAAGGACAATATTGCGTTGACTGACAGTTTTACTGAAAAAGAAAGGGAATAAACTGAATAAAAAAAGGACAAAAAATGAAATAACATAACATAAAGGATTCCATCAAGTTGTTATTCACTAAAGCTTGCTGTTCCTAGACAGAGTACCTTGTAGGAGAGGTTTGGGCTGCAGGCCTGCTCAGCGAGAGGTTTACAGCATAACAGAGGTTAGAGGTTGGAGGATAAAAACAGTAACACTATGGATCAATTGCGCAAGGTGAGCGAAAGAGTGCCAGAAAGTATGTTAAACTCAAACACAATTTCATATAGTAGTCTAGCAGAGTTGTAAGACCCATATATAACAATTATGACAAAAACAAGTATTCTACTTTTTCACAAAAACTGTGAGCTAAAAAGTTTTAGAAAAAAATCCCCAATAATACCTCCTGACAAAGAGAAGTTTAATCAAAACATATTTTCATACTTCATGGCTAATAAATATAAGAAATAATAAAGCCAACTACAGCCTTATTTATGGAAGATTATAATTTGGAAGAAACTTTAAAGTTAACTTACGATCAATATCCATTTATTTTAAAAGAAGCTCAAAGAACTCTATGTGCAGAAACTGGAACAATTCGCATAAGACACAGCAGTACTTGAAACAAGAACAGTTAGCCAATATTCACAAATCTGGACAACTTTCACTTTCTAAAAGGAGTGTTCAAGACGAACAAGACTCTAATCTCAAAATATAACATGAAAAGCATGAAGAGTGAGATTGATGGAGGGAGGGAGGGAGGAGGAGGAAGGAAAGAATATGCATCAGCTGTGCATTCTCCATGTAAACACAAGGCAAGAAATTTTGCTCACTGTGCAAAGGAAACAAACAGGTGGATATTGAGAGCTGGTGGTATACTGTAGGGCTTACCTTCTGCATTAAATTTTACTTCTTAACGCTAGGATTGAACTTACATCTGCTCGGCAAATTCTACATAAATCCAAACACAATAGCAGCTACGCAATTGAAAAATTACCTGTTGTAACGCTTGAGTTTTTGCAAAGAGTACTTAGAATCAGCTCCGCCTTTGGACACAGGCAAACTTTCCAGGTTAGACTTGAGTTTATTGATGGAAGACTTTAATTCCTCTAAATACATGCTCTCCATTTCTTTCACTACAAACTTTGGGTGCCTTCGGGTCTGGAGAGAAAAAAAAAACAACAGAAAAATTTAAAGGTGTTACAAACAATACCATTCATATTACAAACTTTAATTTCAATGCCTAACAGACATGACAGATGCAGACGCCTGACTGAAAGGAAAGCCAAACCCAAAATAAAACTGTGTTGTGCCTGACTGCTCCTCAGCACGACCAACAGAAAACTATAAATATAGACTTTCCATTAGAATAAATCAAATTCATAACATATACATGAGCTTGAAAAAGACCAGCTTTCCTAGTTGCTAACATTTCTATGTTTTGAGAAAAATAAATTTGAAGTCTCAGTCACACTTATACAAAAAGAAAGACATGCAATAATACACACCCATGGCTCTCTCCAAATTAGAAAGCCCCTTTGAAACTGTTTTGAGAGGTAGAATAAATATTGTAACACCCTATCCTATGAGCTCATCAATTCAAATTTAATCAAGCAAGTATAAGGTAAATTTTGTTACACCTCATGTAAACACACAGGCTGCAACCTGGACAGGGAATTGGAAAATAGACACAACTTCCCACACTGACTTACAAACAAAAGAATAAACGGACGCACATAAACACATGAAACTAACATGAAAACAAGCAACAAACAACAAATCCTATAATGAACTAAGAAGATGATAATTTGATTCAAGTACTGGGATGAAAAGGTCCTTTCTAGCCCAGCTAAATGCAACTATATTTGTAGTAATGTGATTTACCTACTAAAGCAATGTCATTACACTGACTGCAATCTGGACAAACAATTTTAAAAGTGGAGCATTAGATTCATTTTAAAGAAAACTGGAAGATGTGTTCCAGGCAGGGTGAGAACAATTAATAACCCCTATCACATTCAAATGTAGAACATATGCAAGTTCATAAGACTGACATTTGCCTGGCTAATGACCTCGAAGCTGGCCATCTGCCAGGTCATAACTTAACTAATTAGGCATGCCAGAATTACCATATTCCACTTAGTCGTAGTCTGTCAAATATAACCCCCATTTATCATGTAGCATTTGTGTACTACTGAAACAAAATGAAGCTGACCGCACTGTTGTAAAATGAAATGTACAGCAACCTATGGTCAGCTTCAAGAGCAAATCATGAGTGGCACATGCAAACCATGCGAGATTTAAAAAAACAGAGACAAAACAATTTCTGGGCCATTTTAAATTTGGACCAAGACAAAACTTACTACTAAATGGAACGTTTCCTCTCATGGAAATCTAAACCTCAGGATAATCTCCAATATCTTAATCTAGAACTTCTACTGTGAAATCTGTGACCATGAAACTTTTTACCCACAAAAAAGTTCAAGCAGTTGTTAGCACAAGATTATGCACAGAAATATTGATTGGTAAGTGAAAACTTTTGAGCCTCCAGTGAATTTCAGGTCATGGTGGTTATATCTTCTATTATATTCTAGAACAATGAAGAATGGTTGGTCAAAACATAGTAAAGTAGACTCTACAAAGTAAATAAAGTGGGGGAAAAAGCTCTATATATCCACTGCAGCTTCCAAAAATATGTTTACAAAACAATTTTGCAGCATAAAGGTTCCAAACAAGTTCATTCAAAAAGATACAACATATCTGAAATGATAAAAATATGAGGGCATGCACTGTGCCAAGAAGTAACCCTTTCACTTTCAGTTTTGTACAGATCACAAGACAAAATCAATTTTACAACAGTATACAGTATTTCAAAATTGTCATAAAGCAGCTGAAGAAATGACAATCAAACTCAGAGTGATTATCATAACCTGCATCTGAAGTATTAATACAAATACTCAAATTTTTTTCGGGAAATGCACATAAAAAACCCCCAAACAACTAAGTAACAAATAAACATGAGACAAAATCGATAATTTATTGGGGCGAGTCTAGGTTGGGGCATTTTCCCCATCAGTGGGTAGCTTTGTCATAAAAGGGTCAATATGGCATAAATACAACAAGGTAAGTAACATGGTCACAGATGGTTACGAATCGACCCCAATCCCAGATGTTGCCCGCGATCAATAACTTATGACTTGTCTTAAGTTGAAAAATGTCGGCTGTAACAATCTTTCATGTCACCTGGCCTCTGAGAAGCCAGCTGTACATGTCCCTCACATCCTGAGCAATGACTGTCGATTCTTTTTCTTGAAAGTGAGAGTTTCAGTGTGTACGTTTGTGTGTATGTGTAAAATGTGTGTGTGTGAGCATGTGGGTGTGTGTGTATGCGTGTGTGAGGGAGAGAGAGAGAGAGAGAGAAGGGGGGGGGGAGGAGGGAGAGACGTTAATTCTATGGGACAAAATTTGTTCCAACATTTTCATATTGTGTAAACTTGAACACATAATGTTAGACATCAAACGAAAATACAATTTCGCACATTTGTTAAAAAGTTAATCAAAGATACTTTCTGTTGCCTAATGAAATGAATATCATCAAAGAAAATGTTGGTATCTGATACAAAATAAATTGTATATATCGATGATGTAACTGTACTGTCATTGCCAGAGCATTGCTCCTGACAGACCCAGCTGGATAGCAGCAGTCACAGTGGGCGAGTAGTAAATCATCATTATATGAGGCTTCACGAATAAAAAATTACCCTGAAACCAAGAGAAAAGCCCATAATACAAGCTGCGCACATCCACAAATAGAAGTGGAGCTTTTAAATGTGCAAAATTTGGAATCTCGTCTGCCGATGTACTGGTCATTGTCAGACACTGACGAACGAGCTATTACTTACTTTATGTCATAATAGTAGAAAACAAATGGACATTCTAGATCAATTAAGATGGTTTGTTGAAACATAGAGTATAAGTTTGTCTAGATAGCTTTTCCCCCCATTTCCTTTCTTCTATCACACGACAAACAGACTTACTCTTGCCATCATTTCGACATTATGAAGGCGCCCATCCAACTCTCTCCGTACTTGGGCTGCTTGTTCATCTGCATTGTCCAGCTGAAATTATAAAATAGACAATGGGTTCACATCTAAAAATCATATTTTTACAGAGGTTATAAATTATGATTGAAAAAAAAACCCAAACAAAAAACATTTTAAAAACTTACATTACGCTAACGAAAAATTGTCCGCAATAACTGTTGTAATTGATAAATCTTTTCTGATGAATTCATATAAAATCAAAAAGTAATTACAATTTTAGTATATTAGCCAATATCAAGGAAACTATATTTTTATATAATTTTGAAAGAACTCCCAGAGGCACAGTAGGTTAGGAATGGGTGAAAGAAGAATACACACAGGTTTGAAATCTACAAGGAACGCTTTGATAAAGGGAAATCCTCACCATCCTATTTTTTTATTCAAGGAGGTGGGGTTATGGTTTCTTTGGAAGTTTTTTTTAAAGAAAGGATGGTGTGTGTAATTATCTGATGATTCCCAAAAGTGATTTCAATTTTTTTAAACAAAAAATATATCCAGTTTAATCTTTTAAAGTATTTGGTTACAATTCATTCATTACCATATTAAAGAATTTCTATCACCAGTGAGCAATATTCTCAACAGCACACTGAAAGCTATCTGATCAGTATCAAGAGTGCCAGTCCAACTGCCATTGTTTTGACATTTTAGTGTTGAGTTACTGGCATTTCATTTCCTTGGATATGATAGACATCTGTTCTTTATTGTTGTTGTTTTTCTTGGTGTTATTTTACCAATATTTGTTAGATATGATTTCATTTTCCATACATGACGTTATTGATACATAAAAGGACTTGCTATTCAACGCTGCGGTGAGTTTTTCTCCCTATGATCTCATATAAAAATAAAAAGCAAACTCAGGGCAGGAACAAACCTCACAGGCAATAAATAAAGCGAAAGTGGTTTTTATGTAACATAATCAGGGACACCTAAAGAGTTAACAAGAAGTGTAAAAATAAAGGTAAATCACATAATGTTTAATTGATTTATTTTTCATCATGTTAAAAGAGAAGAAGAATGAGAGCGTTTCTGTTTCCCTCTAAACCTCTATTATGATTACAAAAATGAGAGACAGAGGTGCGCTATTAGAGAAAGACAATGTTCCAAGATCTAATTCATAAGCTGCTTTAGTACTAACTCACGCTGACAAAATAAGTATCAAGACTATCACAGATAAAGATTCTAAATATAGCTTTCTGGTAGAGGCCGCATGAATGGGAATGATCAATGGGGCCTTTGGGCTGTTTAGAATAAAGGGAAATAATAATAGGCCCCCTAGAGAAGACCACTTCAGAGAGAAGCAATCAATAGACAAGGGGAGTTGCCATAGTGCTGGAAAGCAGGATAATCAATTGAAAGGAGCGTGGGTCTCAGTGAGTCTGCATGTGTGTGTATGATTTATGAATGCATGTGTGAGTGTTTGTAAATGTCTGGGTGAAAGAGAGAGAGGGGGGGAAAAAAAATCAATTTTTGGAAAAAAAAGAACTGTTATTGCTTGTGAAAGAACCAGCTCATGAAGGTAAAAAATAGAATCACTGTAAAAAATAGAATCACTGCCATGGCTTTTATTAAAACAATCAAACTCATCATACACACAACAAATGTATAACAAAAAGCCAGAAGTTAAAAGAAAAAAACAACAACAAAATACAATTTCGGTTCTCATTCATTCTTTGAGAATCTTTGCTCGGGGGGGACTGCCTGCCAAGATTTAATAATGATAAAAACTCGGTTTGTTTTTTGTTTTTCTCGATATCTGGCAGTCAATCGCAAGGTCTTCAAAACACAGAGGAAAGAAAATATGGATGGCTATTTTGCCAAATAAAAAGTGTAATGCTATTTGCCTTTTACTTTTAAACATCAACATGCTTTTACAAAAGTACTCCTGATCATTTCTTGAGATTAATTTTGAGAATTTTCAAGGAAGGACTGCTCAGTTTCAACTTTCAACTGCCAAGAGGTCTTCAATAGAGTATTCTACCCTCTTCTCAGGAAACTACGAACTTGACGTCACCTTTCCAAAGATAACTAACTGAAGAGAAAAACCTGAGAGAGAGAGCCCAAATTATCCACGGACAAAGAACCTGAAACCAGAGACGACACTATGACTATTCAGCCACTCATATCATTTTTTTTTTGCAATAACTTGTACTAACTTTTCCACTTACTTTTATCTTTTCTCTGCTATTGAGAAAATGTAGGCTCTATGGTTCCAGAGCTCAGCTCTCCCAATGCCACTTCAATTTCGACCCTTCCCCCCCCAATTTCCTATTTTTTTTAAAACCACGATGAGTAATGAAAATAGCAAACCACAACAAGTCCAACTTATTAAGTGCAGTGCACCTCATTAAAAAACTACACAAGAACATTCTTGCAACTTTCCGATCTTTAAAACTAATCTAATAATACTGCAGTAGATTTTGTACACAAAGCTGTTCATACACAAAATTTATGGCTAACAGAAAAGGATTTCAGATTTCCATTTTCCCCTCTTTACTCTATGCATTGAAATACATCTTCTTTACTAAACAAATTTTTTTAATTCCCAAAGATTTGGTTACACTGTTTCAAAGTAATTTTGGGCTTAAACTAAAAGTGAAGAGAAGACCCCACATTAAGTTTTCGGTGTCCATTTATTGAAGGCTTATCATGCTACAGCGGTCTACCATCAACTTCTTGTCCAATCAACCACCGTCTAGTAGATTAGGTACTGTTCATTAAATATAAAATCCCTCTTGATTGACTACTGGGGGGAGGGAGGTGGTGCACACTATTTAGACCAGAGATGGTGGCTTTACTCACTTCTTGAGTGCAGTGTGAATGGGTGGGTGGATTGCATCATGTTGTGGTGTCGTTTATATTACAACAGATTTTGTAGTGCAGTGGAAGAGATATAATGAAAGACATGACAGCAAGTGACCAGATGAAACTATTTTCTAATACCCCTACCCCCACAAACTACATCTACCAATAAATGTTTGATATGGATTATAATGTCAGTCTGAGTGTCAAGCCTCTGAAGACGCAAAGTGAAATGTAAAGTGATCAATTGTCACAAATCCCAAGCCTGGGTGTGTATGAAAACTGGAAGACCAGTCCGATGGTATATTTTCAACTAAGCCAGAACAATCACAGTAAACCTTCGCCTTTAATTAAACTGGCACCAAGTCCCCCCCCCTTTTCAATGCAACAGCAAGTACAGTAATGAGAGAGAGGTTTTGTTTTGCAGGACAGCTGCCAACTGTCCCTAATTCAATCAAGATGTCCTACTTTCACAAAACAAGATTTAGATTTAATAATTTTATATTATATATATAATAGTGCAGAGTTATTATAGACTTATCATTTATCAATACCATGTTTTGTTATTATGCAAGTTTGTTCTTAAACGGAGTCAAAGTAGCTCTATGGAAAACAGTGAAATAAACAGCTACAACCTCCTTTGAACCTCATTCTGTGCGGTCAAGGCTGTAGGCATCTATCTGACTGAGAGTCAAAGTCAAAGGTTGAAAATAAGCTTCCCCTTTTTCCAGCTTCCCAAGGTTGGCAATTCTGCATGTATTAGGCTTTATACACATAACAACACAAGACCATTTACACAATCCAGTAAACAAAAAAAAGAAGGAGTCACCTCCCCTGTTTTGTTCTGTTCCATTAGCACTCAGCTTACACACGAAATCGGAAATTAAATGTGCTTAACAAGAGGAAATTCTCAAATCTCACGTGGTCTGTGTGTTATAAGGATATATATATATCACTGTATATTATGCAATGTTCATGTTTGTAATTTATTTTGGCTGTAGCAATGTACAAGACACCGTTTTAATTGCATTAGGAATTGGGGGGGGAAAGTACCATAACAGTCAGCAGCCCCCCCCCCCCCCCCTTTCCTCCCCCAAATATAGACAGAGATAATGAAAAGGAACCTAAATAATTATATTTTAACAAACAAATAAGTCAAAATACATGAAAAAAAATAAAAGTTAAGTCTCCTTAAGCAATTATTCAGTCTGTCTAAATAAATCAAATGAAAATCCTTGTTCTTCTACAATTGAATATAGATCTAGTATAGCCTATATAACTTATAACTCAGTTTCAACAAGACAAGCAAAACAATTTAACAAAACAAAAACGAGTGTAGCCTGGCTAGGTTGTAAAAGAGTATCAGTAATCGAATGGTATCGATAAAAACTGAGACACACTAAAGGCAATAATCAAATTCAACACATACCTGGCAGGCATTATACAGAATTTGGTGTTCATACTTCTTCACGTTGAGAATATTTTGAAACATTTCATACAACTGCTCTTTGCTGAGAATGAGTTCTGACGCAGCAGTTGAAATCCTCTGAGGCTGTTTCCTTGGGTCTTCATCCCCACGATAAATTGCATCAAATTTAGCCATCCAAGAACTCACTACAGTATCTTTGCTGAGACCATCGATTTCTGGTAAACTCCGCACTCGTTTTTCAATGTTATTTTTAAAAACTTCACGGAAGTCATTTGCAGAACAACCCCCACTTCTAACCATGTTCGCAACTCTGTCACTTTTTAGAAACACTTCGTAATAACTCTGAACAGCATTTGTAAATGCTTCATCAGCCACTATGTGGGTTTCCCCATTCAAAAAAGCATGGAAACGTTCCTTTATTGTTTGCAATTGAGCTTTAGTAACTTTGGTTTGCCTTCTAGCTAAATCAGTTGGTTGTTTTGCATTGAATGGGTATGCAATGCACCTCATAACAAAGACGTACAGCTGCAGCCTGCGGCGTCTTTCTTCCTCCTCTCTCTCAGTTTTGTCGAAGTCATCTATCTTGTCCCTGTCACTCACTAAGGATGGACTAGGACTTGATGGTCTTATGCTGTTTGAACGTGAGTGACCACCAACAACACTCAAGTTATCTCCGCTAGCAGACAAGCTCCTTTGCTCTGCACTAGGAAGGCTGAGTACATCTGAGTTATTTTCGTCCCCATCTTCAATAGTACCATTCTCAGATTCTTCCTCGCTGGAAGACGGGTCTAACATATTCGCAAATCAGCACAGCCACCACTGGCTAAGGTGTTGTTGCACAGAAAAACATGAAGACGTGTTTATTATTATTTCGGCAGAGCTACGAGCATTGATATGTGACATTATCAGATTGTCGCGCATGCGTGCTGAACCAAACATTTACGGAAGTCGTCAGAATTACATTTTTGTTGTATTATTTATTGTTTATAGAAATTATGTTTTAGTTACTCAAATATAAATGTAGTAAAATCAATATAAATAAATTTTATAATAAAATGCTCTTTTCGTTTATAATCTCGTGAGACAAGCCGTGCTAACCGTCTGTGTAGACCCCATAAATGTTCAATATTATGGCCGCCATAGTGGATTAGAAGTGTTCCAAAAACAAGTAGTTTTCAAGTTGATGTGCCCGTTATTTTTGTGAAATTAATTAATTCGAAGTAAATTTGGAAACTGTAGGGGTGTATTCGTAATTTGCATTGCTTTTCATGTTGATTGCATTTGTCTTCATAAATACAGGCCCATTTGAATAGTGTAAACAAACGTATTTGGACGTTTGTTTACCTGTCTCCTAAACATACAGCGGTAGCGGATTCAGTGTTCAATTTTCTTTGGATTTTATAAGTTCTGCAGAAGAGCTGAATGTGTTATGGACGTTCCATTATCCATTGCCATGGATTAAGCCTTCGTTTTTTCCTAATTTTGACGAGGTAAGCTGAGAAGCATTGAGGATTTTGATGTCCAGTCCGACTGTACTGTTATTGTTTTGTTATTGTGCCGCTTGGCAAACTTACTAACCAACGGTAAAGTCTTAGTCTTGAAGCCAAAGTAGTGTAGCCGTAGAAATCTAGCCTCTACTCTGGCAACTTCGGACTCTCAACTCAATCGAACCTTAGTCTTAGCAAAAACCCTCAGTTCGTGTTACGATGAGGACAAATGAAATTTAATTTTAGCCTATTCTAGATTTCTAGCAGAAGACATTTTAAAAATCTAATGCCATGCTCAAATAGCCTAATATTTTTTAGATGAACGATTTATTCTCAATTTGCTGAATTAATTTCATGCAATAACTAACTTTCAATAAGTAGGCTAGATCTAGACTTTAGGCCTAGTCTAATCTACACACTAGTTTAGTCGGTGATCTTATACTTTAGCACGTTAAATTTCCGAATTCCCAAAGCCCAAAGTCTACTAGATCTAGATCTAGATCTAGAAATCTAGCCTAATCCCAGACTCAGACCTTCAAAACTTTGAACTGGGCCTAAAAATGTGTGTGTGTGGTGAGCATGTGGGTGTGTGTGTATGCGTGTGTGAGGGAGAGAGAGAGGGGGGGGAGGGAGAGGAGGGAGAGACGTTAATTCTATGGGACAAAATTTGTTCCAACATTTTGATATTCAATTGTGTAAACTTGAATACATAAATGAAAGTGGCTATTCTCACCCGCCCGGAAGTTCTCGCAAGATCTACTCCTCCCCTCTTCTCTCTCTCTCTGTTTCTTTCTGAATACTGTCTATCGGTGTCGACGATCAAATTGACCAAAACAAAGTTAAAAAATGATGTTAAAACACAAAAGTAAATTAATTTGGTTGTCTACAAAGATGCTACGGCTATTCAACTTTTCGAATCGAGCCGAACTACGCGGGTCGCCATTTTGTTTTGTTCTCTCTCTTTCACTCTCTCACTCTCTCTCTCTCCACTGCCCACAGACAAAATTGTACGCTTTTAGTAGGCTACAAGTACAGTTGTAATGGAACGTTTGTTCACAGCACAGAATTCTACAATTTTTCTCTTATCACAGTGTAGAATTCTGTGGTTTAGGGTGAACGCAAAATTTGTTGACACGCGCACCGGGTGAGAATAGCCACAAGACCCGCCTGCACTATTCTCACCCCGGGTGAGAATAGAGGTGGCCTACATAAATATAATGTTAGACATCAAACGATAATACAATTTCGCACATTTGTTAAAAAGTTAATCAAAGATACTTTCCTGTTGCCTAATGAAATGAATATTTCTTCCATCATGATTTTGGAAGCCATTGAGTATAATTATAGAAAGTGGCTATTCTCACCCGCCCGGAAGTTCTCGCAAGATCAACTCCTCCCCTTTTCTCTCTCTCTCTTTCTGAATACTGTCTATCGGTGTGGACGATCAAATTGATCAAAACAAAGTTAAAAAATGATGTTAAAACACAAAAGTAAATTAATTTGGTTGTCTACAAAGATGCTACGGCTATTCAACTTTTCGAATCGAGCCGAACTACGCGGGTCGCCATTTTGTTTTGTTCTCTCTCTTTCACTCTCTCACTCTCTCTCTCTCCACTGCCCACAGACAAAATTGTACGCTTTTAGTAGGCTACAAGTACAGTTGTAATGGAACGTTTGTTCACAGCACAGAATTCTACAATTTTTCTCTTATCACAGTGTAGAATTCTGTGGTTTAGGGTGAACGCAAAATTTGTTGACACGCGCACCGGGTGAGAATAGCCACAAGACCCGCCTGCACTATTCTCACCCCGGGTGAGAATAGAGGTGGCCTACATAAATATAATGTTAGACATCAAACGATAATACAATTTCGCACATTTGTTAAAAAGTTAATCAAAGATACTTTCCTGTTGCCTAATGAAATGAATATTTCTTCCATCATGATTTTGGAAGCCATTGAGTATAATTATAGAAAGTGGCTATTCTCACCCGCCCGGAAGTTCTCGCAAGATCAACTCCTCCCCTTTTCTCTCTCTCTCTTTCTGAATACTGTCTATCGGTGTGGACGATCAAATTGATCAAAACAAAGTTAAAAAATGATGTTAAAACACAAAAGTAAATTAATTTGGTTGTCTACAAAGATGCTACGGCTATTTAACTTTTCGAATCGAGCCGAACTACGCGGGTCGCCATTTTGTTTTGCCCGGAAATTCTCGCGCTACTCCTCTCTCTCTTTCTCTCTCTCTCTCCACTGCCCACAGACAAAATTGTACGCTTTTAGTAGGCTACAGTTGTAATGGAACGTTTGTTCACGGCACAGAATTCTACAATTTTTCTATTACTATTATCACAGTGTAGAATTCTGTGGTTTAGGGTGAACGCAAAATTTGGTGAACGCGCACCGGGTGAGAATAGCCACAAGACTCGCCTGCACTATTCTCACTCCGGGTGAGAATAGAGGTGGCCATAATTATAATCTTGATGCATAGAATTTGATCCAGATCTGATAGTGGTGGCTCGTTTCGGAAGTCCTCAATTGAAGAATTTAACGTGCTAAAGTGTAAGATCACCGTTTAGTCTAGTTCACGTTAAAATTGAAGATTAGCCGACCACCTGCCGGGAATACCTTTTTTGGCACTAAAAACTGTCGTAAACTAGATTAGATCTAGATTCTAGATCTAGGTCTAGGCCTATCTAAATCTAGATCTAGATTATCTAGATCTAGATATCTAAAATCTAGATCTATCGTTCTATTATTTTTGTGACTTAAGCAGGGGGTGAACCCCCTGCACCCCTCCCCCCCCCCCCCCCCCGTCTATCGCGGTAGTCTAGACTAGAGTCGTCTAGTGGTGGTCTGCTATAATGTTCAAAGAGGCCAGGATCTCTAGTTCACTACTGGTCTACAGGTTAGGGCTGGAGCAACCCTTTACTTTAGTTACTGAATTCTAGTCTTATTCATAGCCTACTACTCAAAGCCTACTCATCCGTTCAAGGGATAGATATCTAGATCTAGATATATAGATCTAGAATCTAGATCTACCAAACTGATAGATCTAGCTGGAGAACAGCTGAACGGCTGGCCGATATTTATAGTAACAGCCATCTTGTTTGACCTTGCAAGGCGGATGCCCGCCGACCGCCGTGTTATCTGATCGTGATTTGAAATATAAAATATAGTGATGATTTTGCCTAGTGCGTGGTTTGCACTGACGGTTTCCAAGCTCCTTAGTATTATAATTTTATTATTTATACTCTTATAGATTATAGATAGTCTAATTCTACTCCATTTGCAGCTCAGCATCCTTCTTATTGAAGAGTCCAATCTCTCGTAAGTGCTTAATTTTTTGTGCTTACAACACTTTAAAAGAAACGATCCTGATCGAAATGGTCGATCATTTGCACTGCCTGCGTCTTTGAACTTTGTTTGAACTTGCTTTCATATCCACATTGACGTGTGTAGGCGTAGGCCTACTCTTAGTCTTCTTCTTCTTCTCAGTGTTTACGTAGTGTACAGCTTCAGAATCAATCTGGGCGAACGAAGGGTGCTGCACAATCACAGACAACTGAACCGAACAGTTCGGCAAGTTGCAAAGAAAATAATCCAAGTCTCGGCAGGCTGCTGTCGTGCGGGAGTTTTGCCACCATGACTGACCTGTGGGAATCCTTCAATGACGTTAAACAAGATGGCTGTTGCTATAAATATCGGCCAATGGCGTTTAGTTGTCGTTCTCAAGCTATCCGCTTTTGTATCGTTCCAGGCTTATTATGGACTTATATTATGATGGCTATGGACCGGTCTCAAACTCAAGTCTAATTTCTTTGTACCCTTTTCTACTTCAATTTATCTGTTGAACACACATATGTGAGGCAGCATGGTAAAATCAGGCGCTTGTCAAAATACAGAGTACGGAGAAACAATCATTTTTCCTCCAGTTTGTTGGAAATATTTTTTAGCAGATTTTTCTTTTTGGCTCAACCTCTTTTGTGTCCATATAAAAACACATTTCATATGAACTGCTAAAAAACATTGATTAAAAGATTAAAAGCACAAAATATATCATTTTTCTGTTTTCAAGGACTCTTTAGCTGTTAAGAGTTACCAAACTTTGCTTGGCCGCCCATTTTCTCGCTAATTTCACCACTGAAACAAGGCAAGACAACAACACTTCCTTCAATCGCAACTTTCTTGAGCTCTATTCAAGATAGAGTGATATTAAATTTAAGCTTTGAGATGATACCAATATGAATAACTCCACAAGCCCAAAAATTGACGAGTGCCTGATTCCACTGTGTTGTAACATACATAATTTATCATAGACTCTGCCGCAAATCATTACTTTTTGAGTTATTGATGATTTAAATTTTATATATTTATAAATTTTCTTCTCTGTTTTCTTTTACTTTCACTCCCATCTCACTCTTTATGAGATGTTCATTTTCTTCTAAGCCTACAAAAACCTATTTATATTGATGCACTGAACAGGACAATCAACTTTTTCGGTTGCAAATTAATAATCTAGATCTAGATCTAGTTTTTGAAGTATTTGATGGTTTTTAATCAATTTTAATCACCTTAACTTCGTGACTAAGCCTAGGCCTAAGTACTACTAATAGCGTAGTAGTTTTCAGGTTTTAGACCAATAGGGGGGTTTAAGGCCCCCCCCCTTAAGTAGAAAAAAAGGCAGGTGCTGACAGCAGGACTTCGGGTAGCTAGCATTTTTCTGCCCACCCAGAGGAGCCGGTCACCTAGTACTGACTGCCTGGGATTTATTTCACTGTCAACAAGGTGTGTAGTTGCTCTGCGACAAGGAGAGAGAGAAAGAGAGAGAGAGCAACAAGGAATGAATGGCATGGAAATAAAACTACATATTTAACATGAATTTTGTAAAGCCACTTTAAAAATGCCAATGAAGGATTTTAATTGTCATTCCAGCAGTTAGCGCGTGCCTCATATCAATGAAAAGAAAGATTCTAGCAAAATTAATTATAGATGAGACTTTTCA